TATTCGACATAGAAATCACAATAATGGCCACCTGCTGTATAGTTCCACGAAATACGGCGAATTGTGTATTGTACACCACTCAAATTGAATTAACTAATTACCGGACCGCACGGGTCCAGCAACCTACAGCACGGTGCACGTACCATTCAATTTGCAGCACGTTCGCGCACACACCGTTATCTCCATGTGATGTGCGACGACGAACCAGAGGAGTTGCCGTACGTACGTGTCACGGCGCCACACACCCCTCGTCCTCCCTGCAACCTAAACCGTTCCACGCACATCCGCCTCGGTCGATGCTGCCTCCTCCTGCTTGCGTTCGGCCCTCGTATTCCGGCTCGACGAACCAGGACCAATATAAAAAGCTATGGCCTCAAGAAAAAGTAAATGTCAATTAGGATAAAACCATAATGTGATATTCTTTACCTAATATGAAGCCGAGCATTGCTAATTTGCTATACGTTCGATAAAACTTCATATGATCAGAGTACGATATTTCGTAGCCTCTGGTGTGTGCTGCAAATATGGGGCATAACATGTTTCCACCCAATCAAAAATCATGGATGGTAGGATCGTATTAAAATCCTACAAATATCATCGTACGCAAAGCAATTTCCATATGAAGCCATAGCCACATTATCTTTTCTTTATCCATGTCAATCGGTTACTTTTGTATTAAATCCTCACTTTTTTTTTCTATTCACACATGCAAGTCTAATAAATTAATAATCCACACCCTGAAAATCATATATAAGAACCCATCCCTTCCCTTTCATTCTACCTTTCCCTCATTTCTCCCTGTAACTCCTCTCTCATGTCCCACGGCATCACCACCTCTCCCCTCTCTAGTGGCGATTCTTTTCCCCTCTCTTTCATCAACAAGGCCACCAAGGAGACTAGATCGGAGACAGTGAGGGTGGATATCAAGACGGCAGGGTGTGGATTGAGGGGGCAAAGGTGTAAATCGGGGTGCCACAGCGTGGATCAGGGTGGTGACGATGGATCTGCCCAATGTGGTGGAAGGAGCGGTCGAATAGTAGGTGGCAGTGTAGATAGAGGCAGCGATGGCAGGCAGAGCTTCGAGGCGACGTCTTCCCGCAATGGAGCATCTCACCATCGTCCTCAATGAACCGTCAGGTAGGCCCTTTTTGACCTCATTTGTGATGGCGACGCGTAGAAGTTTGTTTGCAGCAACGGCACGGGCCGACGGCATGGGGCGAGGCCGCTTCCTAACGCGTTTCCTCGCATGATTCTCGCCTACCAGCAGAGGCGTGGCTATGCTGAGGACACATGGACCTCCTGCATGGTTCGCACACCTCTGTAGGGTGCAGTTTCTTTATAGTTGGCGTGAATATTTGTCTCGGATGGGGTAAGACAACATGCCAGCTAGGAACGTTTGGCATTGCCTTAGGCCATGTACAATGCATGGTCTCCGACTTGTGGTTCCATCCTCCAACTAGGCTAAGATGCCACAGTGGAGGTTCGAGAGTGTCTTCATTTGTTCTAGAATAACCTATAGATGTCACAGTGGTTTGAGGAGAAAAGCAGTGGTTTTGGGAGAAAAAGAAGTGGTCCAAGCCCCTGATCGGAAGCCATCTGAGAAAGTGCAAGAGAGAGTGCACCTCGTCTCACTGTTAAGGGGACTCCCACCATCGCCATCAGCGACTGCAAAGCTCGCCGACTGCGCCGGAGTGGGGATAGGAGAGGTGGGGGCGTCACCATCCACCAGATGCGCGGCGAACACCTGGGATCCCATCACGGTGACCAAGGAGGGAACCTTAATCCGCGCCAATAACAGTGACCGAAGGAGAGGCGGCAGGGAGGGAGCTCGATCGTCGTGGCGGCGGAGAGGGAGCTCGATCGTCACGGAGGCGGGGAGGGAGCTTGTTGTCCTCAACAAGCAGAGGCCGGATCCGACGACCTTGCGTCTAGATCCAGTGGTGAAGGGGAGCTTGCCATCGTGCTCCCACCATGTCCCTTCTCCCCCAGTGGCAGACGATGCTGCGGTTGATGGGAAAGGTAGAGATGCGGAGATGGATGACGAAGGCGTGGGCATCGGCGGAGGCAGCAAACATCATCAAAGGTGAGGGCAAGAAAAGGGGATAGGTGTAGGAAGGAGATAAGAGAGAGATTGTGGGGAGGGATAAAAAATATATGATGGGAGAAGATGACAGTGGGACCGTGTAAAGGCTAAGGGTACCTACGTACTCTTTTTGTTATTAGAAGATCCAAAATACAAATGTTGATAATAAAATATATTAGAAGTACTGACACGTAAATAAGTAGGGACTGAAACACAAATATACTTTACAGTGCTTTCCATAGTGAGTGTTGTGATATTTGTGTAGTTCTATCCTATATGACTTGTTGAGACTGCTGATAACAGTGGTCTTCGTTGTATGAATACATAGGAGTACATTACTTTTAATCTTTTTTAGTTATACATATGTTTTTTTGAAAGATACGAAAATATACGTGTACCGTGATGTGGAGGCGCGCAACCGGTTCACTGGTGCTGCGTGGACGTGCGGGACCGATGGTCCTGCGGCTTGGCCGCATGGCACCGCGCGGTGGCGCGGTCCGGTCGCGCGCCACCGGGTACACGAAGGCAGCGCACGCAGGCATGCATACATGCATGCACGTTAGTCACATACTCACATTAGTCGGCTGCACTCGGTGGGGCACGGCCAGGCCGCGGTGTTTTCCTAGCCGTTGGTCCCACGCGTCCACGCTGCGCCACATAATTTCGTAAATCTTTTAAAAAGACATGTATAAATGCAAAAAATTAAAAATAGTGTATATTTTTTTCCTTTGTCGTACATACCCATGGGGTGGGGGTTATTTAGTTGGTGAAGATGTAGTCGCCCGCGGCCGGTGCCAGGGATCACCCCGCCGCAGGGCAGCACTATCATGTTTTAGTGGGGAAAGCGACGGTGTCGATTGTAATTTTTGTACCCGCATATATATATAGAACAACTCGGCAAGATTAGTTCTTTTAGAAATAATATTTTTTTAATAAATAAATTGTAAAAATAGATGTTGATTGGCTAAAATCGTAAATTTAATACCCTGTCGAGCAACCGCAGTTTGACATCTATATTAAAATCTCCACGTAAATCATTTTTTTACCTCCTATTAGCTCTCACTTAGATTCAAGTATCCAAATAATAGTATGGCATAACTGTGTAAGGACAAATTAATGACTTATAACTGATGATATGCAAATATGCTATATTATATATTCAAATTAGTTCATTTAAGATTCCAAAATATATAAAATCACCATTTAAAACAATATTAAGGATAATATGGATAGTATTGTAAAGTTTAGGGACTGGATGTCCGGTTTGAAAGTCTTGGATGCTAGACGGATTTCCATTCAAAGTTTAGGGAGGGGGTACTTGGACTTTTTTATAAGGCCCCATTTAGTTCCCAAAAAGTTTTTCCCAAAAACATCACATCGAAGTTTTAGATATATACATGGAACATTAAATATAGATGAAAAAAACTAATTACACAGTTATGATGGAAATCGCGAGACGAATCTTTTGAGCATAATTAGTCTATGATTAGTCATAAGTGCTACAGTAACACACATGTGCTAATAACGGATTAATTAGGCTCCAAAGATTCATCTTGCGGTTTCCAGGCGAGCTATGAAATTAATTTTTTCATTCGTGTCCAAAAACCCCTTCTGACTTCCGATCAAACGTCCGCTGTGACATCAAGAAATTTTCATTTCGCGAACTAAACAGGGCCTAAATTGTAATCGTTAAAATGATCAAAAGAAAATTTATTTTCCTCCAACTTAGTACTCCTTTCGTCCTAAAATATAACAACTTATAGCATTTAAAATTTAACCCAAAATATAATAACTTCTTCATCCACGTTGTATTCTTAACCAATCACAATCATTGAACATTCATTTTTTTTCCACATACCTCCACTTTTCAACCAATCACACACCTCCTATCTTATTCTACTCACCTTTTAATAATCGTGTTTAATCCTAAAACTTTTATATTTTAAGACAGAGTTAGTAACATTTTGTTAAAATTATGGGACATGCTTATATTTTAAAATGGATATTTCCTTGATAAGAAAAACACTTCTAGAGTTAAATGTGAATACGACGATTTTTTTTTTTACGGAGTACCGACTTGTAAAAGAATCTTGGAGAAGACAAAACTTTTTATCTATCATAAAACCATTGTACCCGAAGAATCCTGTCCAGTGGAGCCCACCCGACGAAATCAGATCTCCTAAACCAACAAAAAGAAAAGAAAAAGGAAAAACAAAATTCCTTGTCTCTATCAGGCTTGACCGCGACTCCCCCACGAACCGGTGGCGCCTCCTTTCCTCGCCGCCTCGTGGGCCAGCTCCCAGGGGGGCATTCCCGTCATTTCACCTCGGCCGGCGTGGCGGGAATTGGCGCGAAAGCTGGCCTCACCCCCGGAGACGACGAGACACGTCGGGCGTTTCCCGCCCAATCCACACACCGCGCCGGAGGTGGGCCCCACTACCCGACGCCCAGGATCGCGCCACGTGGCGCGCCGACGCGACCGAGGCGCGGGGCCCATAAACCCGGGGAAGGCGCGAGAGTGGGGGAGCGGGTGCGGTGCGGAAACGTGGCGAGGTTGCCGCTTTGTCAGCTGTCGTCTCCTCGCTTCGCTTCTCCTGTTTGCGTTGTTTTTCTTCTCGTCGCAGCCGATGCGATGCGATGCGAGCTGTGACACTGACACATGCACACACCGCTGCCTGTGGCCATGTTCACTTGATCTGGCTCTGGCTGCTGCAAGTACTCGGCTTGTGGAATAATAACCTCTTCTGTTCTTCACGTTCTGACTTTTCTTCGCACGTTCTTAAAACACAATAATTCGAGACGTAATACTGCTAGTGATTAGTAAAGAAAACAAAATCCACTTGTTCGAAAGAAAGCTACGGAAGCGTGGAAGACTGTTGCTCCTCATAGGAGATTCATCCAGGAGACGGGACAAAAGTAGTAGTAAATCCGGACATCCATTTTCCCTCATCAGATTAAAAATCACCAACCACATTAACAAACCCCCGTTGCTGTCACCGGTCGTGACTCGTGAGACGACCAGGGTGTGTAATTAACAGCTAATCACCCGCATCAGCAGCCACTAGTCACACCCGATTCTTTCACTCCAACTGCGGCTGTGAGCGCTGACATGGTCTGACCACTGCGCACCACGTGAGACGAGAGACAACGCCACACCACCATTTAATTACTCCTCCCCCACTCCACTCCCAACAAAAGCAAAAAAAAAAAAGAAAGAAAAAATAAATATCTGCCACGCAATTACACTGTTCCGTTTCCACGCGGGAGACGTGCCATTCAAGGCAGCTCACGCACAAAGCGAGCGCCCGCCTTGGGCCCCACGCCACCACCATTTACTACTACTGCTCACTTCACTAGGGAGTACAAACTCCGCTGGGTTTTTTTTTACTGCCACGAAATAATAATAATAAAATTAATATAATACTAGTAGTAATAACATTGCTGCTGGTTGCTGCTGATGCGCCGTCTCCCGCCAACTTTTCCCGCCCCGAGAGCGCGAAATGGGTGGAGGGGGGCAGCGGCGTCATTTCACGCTGACGGCGTTGCTCGCCGTCAGCCCCGCCGTCACGAAGTCCTCCCCTTCCCACCACGGCAGCCAGTCGAACTCCGCCGCCTTGGTGGAAGGCGGCGGCGCCGAGAGGTCGCCCAGCTCGACGAGGAGGTGCTCGAAGGATGGCGCGGTCACCTCGTCCGCTGCCGCGTACCGGAGCACGGAGGTCGGCGACGCGAACGGGTTGAACGAGCTGTCGTTGGCGCGGTCCTCCTCCGGTGGCGCCGGCGTCGGATCGGGGACGGAGGCCTTGGCGGCGGCGGCGGTGGAAGAGCTTGGGGTCTTGTCCGGGGTGGTGTGTCGGCGAGGGTGGAGCTTCATCTGCTTGGCCTTGGCGGAGGGGGTGTCGGAGTCGGAGGGGAAGTTGGTGACGGCGTGGGAGCCCTTGATGCGGAGCGCGGCGTCGTCGTACACGGCGGCGGCCTCCTCGGCGGTGTCGAAGGTGCCGAGCCACAGCCGCTTCTGCAGGCTCGGGTCGCGGATCTCCGCCGAGAACCTGCCCCACGGCCGCCGCCGCACGCCGCGGAACCGCCGGCTCGCCGCCATCCCCGCGCGCCGCCGGGCCAGCGCCGCCGTCGCCGTCGGAACCAGCCGCCTCGGGTGCTTCGGCGCCGGCGCCGGCGAGGCGGCCCCGACGTCGATGTCGATGACCTCCCGGACGCGCGGCCTGGAGCGCTCGTCCCCGGAGGAGTCGGTGTCCGTGGCGTCGGCGTCCACGAAGTAGACGCGGACACGCTTGGGCCGAGGCATGCTAGCCCCAACACGGCGGCTCCTGCCGGCGGCGAGGGAGTCCGCCGGAGACATCGCCGGAGGACGCATATCCACCGCCCGCTACGAGGACGTCACCCCAAATCTCATCCAAGAAAACGCACGAACCAACCCAGCAAACAAACTCACCCGAATTGGAGGTAAAACCCAAACAAACAAGACCTCAAATTTCTCCTTCAAACTTCCCAAATCAACTTCAAAAAAACACAAAAGAAAATCCCAAAGATTTCTCAGATCTAAGCACTCCCCCAGTGAGTGAACTATCACTACCACCACTAGCTCACCGCTCACTCTCCAAGAACCGGGTCAAACAAGCAAAGGCACCCGGAAAATCCCAAACCCCCAAAACCTCAAAACCAGAGAGATCCAAGAACTCCTCAACCGAGGCAAAAGAAAACACGAAACCCTCCGTCGATCTCAGGATAATCCGGGGGGTTTTAAGAGGGGTTTTAGCTTTGAGGTTAAGGGCGGGAAAGGGAGAGGAGGGGGATTTGTTGGCTGTGGGAGGAGAAAGGGGTAAGACGAGGTGGAGGATATATTTATGGCACAGGTGGATACCACTACCACTGTAGTACCACTGTTCTTGATCTTATCACGCTTGGGGAAATTACTGTTTTGCCCACCTGCTAGGTCCAGCTGGACCGCGCTGAGAGTGAAACCGAGTGCAGGGGACAGTGTGGGCTTCGGTTCATGTGTTCAGTGGAAGTTTACTTCTTTGCCCCTCCCTGTCTGGTTCATTTATTGTTTTTTTTTTATTTCCCAAAAGAAACGTGTGTGGTTTTGAATTTGAAGTTGCTTGAATTCAACTTGATGATGTATTGATGTTCATAACCATGATCCTTCATGGTGTAATAATAAAATCCACTTCAATCAAGGTGTACTTGTTAGTACTCCTGTTTAAAAGACATGATCACGGGGAAGTTTCACATGTGCTCGAGGGATTTTCCGTGTGCTTCACCTCGTTTTTTGATGGCTTGTTCACATACAATGGCTTGAAACTTTTGTGTTAGGTAAGTGACTGGATTGGCATGATTGGTGAGTTTACAATAAAATAATTAAGTGACAGTTGTTTCTTTTTTTAAATACTATCAATATCGTAGGCTGAACCGGTAAATATAATTAACGAATAGGTGAAAAAGTTATATGTGTACAGCAAGTCAATAATTTCACGAGTAAAATGGCCATTAGTGCAACCAGAGGCACAAGAGGCACAAGACCCAAATGTACTTCTACTAAGACCCTGTTTCTTTCAGCTTGGTATTATTATAATCTAGATTATTAAGCCAGATTACTATAAGCTATATTGTTATAATCTGTAGTAGAATAAGCGACTAGTTGTTTTTTTTTCTAAATTATTATAGCCTAGATTATTGGGTTTGCAAGTCTAAAGAGTGAGTGGGGTGGCATGGTGGGTAATTTTTCACCAATAATCTGGAAAAAGCTTACCTAAATGAGCTTATCAGATTATAATAAGCTGGGCTCCAGATTATAATAAGCTACTTCAATAAGTTGTGTGTTTCTTTCAGCTTACTCCCAATAATCTGGATTATAATAATCCCAAGCTGAAAGAAACAGGGCCTAAATAATTACTCCATTTTTCAGTTCTTGATATAACGTTTGACTTTTCGTCTTATTTAAAAATTTTCTATGATTAGTATTTTTATTGTTATTAGATAATTAGATAATAAAATATGAATAGTATTTTATGTGTTACTAATTTTTTAAAAAAAAATTATATAAGACGGATGGTGAAACGTTGGACATAAAAAACTAAAAATGAAGTCAGACGGAGGGAGTAACTATCATCAAATATAAATTCTTTAAGCCCCATCGTTTTGCTTATCCTTATACTTATCCGCACCACTTATTAGCAAATTAAAAAAAGAGTAGTTTTGTAGCAAACTGAAACATATGTCGCTATTGTTGTAGCAAACCGATAGTTTTGTCACTAAAATTGTAGTTTTCTAAAAATTACTAAAAAAATTGTAAGTAAAACTTTCATACGTCTCCTTAGTGGTATAATAGCAAATGTTGTAAAATAAACATGATGAAAAATCACAAAATTAACTTTAAAATTTACATTTAAAATGTAAATTTTAGCTTATAAGTATAAGCATAAGCGAAATAATGATGGCCTTTCTGACTATAATGGTGAACTGTCCTCATATAAAACTTATTTTATTTTGTTTTCAAAACAAGTATAAACGCAGAAGCTCATCTGCACGTGTGCACACACTGAACCTTATGAAAGCACACCCTGTAAATTTATAGCTATGAAAGAGGACATAACTGAGAAAATATTATTCGCTTTGATTTCAAACAACCACCATCGCTGTCTAATTTTTTTAACTTTGACCATAATTAAATTTTAAATTATTATATCATTATGTATGAAAGTTTTCAGGACTGGAATGCGACCTATTTCGTTGACATGAAATATTTTTCAGTATTTATATATTCTCTTCAATAAAAAAAATTCGAGCAGACAATGGTCGAAGACAAATGGGAGTCCTATCTAGGAGTAGCAACAAGTATTTAAAGACGGACATACCAGTGAGTTACCACAGAGTATAGTGCTGCCGTTCTAAACACAACAATATATGTGCACTCAAACATGAAAAAGAAAATTAAAAAAAATTGATATGTGCAACATAATGCCATGTACCATCATTAAATAAAATCAACTCAAAATTAAATTTACATATATACAAAGAAACACAGATTAATTTCAGGCTCGAAGCGGTGCACAACACACACCACATATTCATCCCAAAGGAAAAAAAACAGCACATATTACTGTTAATAAAAACACATTTTTTTTTATTTTTACCAGCTACGTTCAAAAATACTTCATCTCTGGTTATTCACCTCACAAGTGCTTGTCCATGTGCATATTCATAGAAATCCTTTTAGAAAAATTGGTAATATATCAATAAGTTGTAACACGTCATATAATGGCATAGTTCCAATTTTCCCTATCCGTTTCATGTATACTAACTTTGGGACAATTATCTATTTGACCCTACTTTGAAGCTTAACTACCAATTTGACATCGTTTTTCCCAGTTTGCTTATTTGACCTCGTTTTTCAAAATTGAAGTTACCGTTTCACCCTGTTTCCAAAAACCGTCAGGGTTCCATTTAGAACAAATTAAAAAAAATAAATTTACAAGCCTAAATAACTAAAATGCCCTTATTTACTCATTTCTTATGCTCTGTATCCTCTCTCACCAGAGCACAAATGGCTGGAGGTGCGACGGTCATCGCGGCTGCAGCTGCGGCGGCTACGTTGGCTCCACGGCGGCGGCACGATGAGGAGGACCGCCAGCGGCAGCGGCGGCTGCAGAGGGGCGACGAGGGCTGGCAGACCATCGGCAGTGGTTGTGTCAGCTCGGGGGGCAGCTGGGCTCGACGGCAGCGGCGCGACGAGGAGGACCACCGGCAGCACGACGGCTACAGAGGGGCGAGGCGACGAGGGCAGGAGGACCACCGGCGGCGGCGACCGCGGCGACACGCGGTGGGAGCAGCGGCGGAGGCGATAAACCACGGTGGGAGCGCGACGGCAGTGCGTAGTGGGAACAGAGGCGGCCTCGGCGATGGTGGGGAGCGGGAGAGACGGCGTGAGCGGCGAAGGGGTTGACCCGCGGTGGGAGCGGCGGCGACGGCGTCGGCGTGCGGTTTGAGCAGGGACGGCCGTGGCGACGGCGGGAGCTTTGGAGGCGCCGACCCGCGATGGGAGCGGCGGTGACAGCGCCGGCGCACGGTGGGAGCATGGGCGGTCGTGTCGGCGCACGGCAGTGACCGCGTGGAGCATGGTGTGGGAGCTCGTTGGCGCGCGGAGGCCAGATGGTTGCCGACAGCGGTACATGCGAGGGCGGGCGGCGGCGCGGGAGCTTGTCGGCCCGAGGAGGCTGGGCGGCGGCACGAGAGCTCGCCAGCGTGTGGAGGGCAGAGCTTGGCGGCTCGGGAGCACGCCGGCGCGTGAAAAAAAAAATGTTGAATAAACAATTTTAGAAACTAGGGTCAAATGAGCAAGGGTATAAACGTCTATTTTTCCCTGAAGTTAACACTGTTAGCTTGCCCTTCACATAATACGGTTAGATCCGACCTTCATTTTTTAAAATAAGGGTCAAATGAGCAAACTTGAAAAATTAGGGTTAAATTGGTAGTTACACTCCAAATCAGGGGCAAATACGCAGCAAATACGCAATTACCCTAACTAACTTTTTATTTTTCATGTTTGAGTGCACTTGATGTATATCGGTGTAGTAGCACGCGCGTGAGATTCTCACCGTCAGACATGACGCACCTCGACTTTGGGGCTGTTCAAATTGATGACAGTTTCAACCATACCATTATTTGGTAAAATTGATAATTATGTGGTTATATTTAGTTTGTTACTAATTATTGGCAATACATATAGAATTTTGGCAACACTATTGAACTAATCCTACCAAAATTTTGACAATGTTATTAATTTGCCAAAATTTTGGCATTACTAAATTTTGGTAGCGTTCATTTTGGCACAAACTGAACAAACCCTTTATTTTAAGAGCAAGGGTTTTGTCGAATGTTTATTTAAATCAAGATTGTTCTTAAGGGGTGTTTAGATCCCACCCCAAAATTGTACGCTATGTCACATCGAACGTTTGAACACCTGCATGAAATATTAAATATAGGCTAAAAAATAACTAATTGCACAAATTGTGACTAATTTGCGAGACGAATCTTTTAAGCCTAATAGCTCCATGATTTGATAATATGGTGCTACAGTAAATATTTGCTAATGATGGATTAATTATGCTTAATAAATTCGTCTCGCGATTTACTGGCAGATTCTGTAATCAGTTTTTTTATTAGTGCCTGAACACCCTATGCGACACCCTATATAATAACCGATGTGACACGCCAAAACTTTACACCCCTGGCTCTAAACACCCCCTAAATGCAACTAGTGCATGTGCATTCATGCATAAATATCACCCGTACCACAGGCGAAGCCGACAATGAAACTCGCCAATATCATAGGGTGCTAATGCCACCATCTCAAAATAAGCAAACTTTTATATATTATCAGATTCATACATAAAAACTAGTTAAAATCAATCCACAAATCTTATCGATTTTGGATCACTAAATGTGCTTTACGATCCGTGCTCTAGACCCTTCTCCTCTATATCTGATGACCTCATCTTCTTCTCCAGTGTCAGTAACGTCCCAAACTCTCACGGAGGAACAGATTAAGATCCTAAGTTGGAATAGGGGTGAAAGGGGATGGGAGGAGGAGGAGTTCACCAGCTTTAAAGGATGACCATGAGAGACGCTGTACGATGGTGGACGCGCGGCAGAACGGGCCGGTAGTTAGACGGCGACATCACTGTTGAAGTTGTAGGGGTCGATGGTGGATGTTGGGATGGTGTTTGCGACGGGGATAAAGTGGGGCGAAAAGGTTAGGAGACAATGACCCATGGTGGCGAATTTGGTAGCGGGGAGTCATCGGAGACGAAAACGATGAGATGCGGGTATATCGCGGGCGTCAGCTCGAGGAGGATGAGAGGTGGGGAATGAGAAGAAAGGAGAGGGAAAGGGAGGCCTTACCGGCACGGCTTGCACCTTTCCGGCGTTGGCGAGGAGGAGAAGGGATCACGAAAACGGTGTTGCATAGTCGGTGGTGTTATGCAAGGGAAGTGTGACACACGCTACAAATCTCAAGACAACTTCAACAGTTAAAAATTATATAATTTAAATTAGGATTTTCTGTCATGTCATATAGGTACTCATAGTATAAAGTGAACATCGTGATGAACTGGATCGAGAAATTAGGAATTCTGAAAGAACGAAAACATTTTCGGATAATCGAGATCGTTAATTCGTTATCCACTAGAGGGGACGTACGTGCATGTAAACGTGGAAGCGCACTAGGCCCGTCGTACAGGAGAAGCACGGAAGCTACGGAAGCTGGAGCAGTGCATTAACACGCTCCAATTACTTCTCGTGTGGGTACTAATTAAATACGGATCAGTACTCCAATATTAATAGGGATCGATCAAAGATCACACGGCACGTACGCGCGTACCCTGCACTGCATCTGTACCGTCTGGCTTGGGATGCCCTCGATCCATGCATCCATCGATCGATCGGGTCCGGCCGGTCCGGACTGCCTGCTTGTACCTGCACAGGATATATGAGCAGTGACTGTAACTGTATTGGCTACAAATGACCTGGCCGGTTTCATTAACCCTCCCATCACATGTGAATCAGTAAGTGCGTATTAATTGTGCAGTAGTAAAATCGAACTGTACTGTTAGAAGCCTAAAAAAAAGCTTGATTTTAAATCATCTTAACTACATTTTCGGCACATGTCCTGAATGCATATATATTATATTGATATATATCATGTTAAGATGTACTGGTACGTGCTTTCAAGCCTAATTAACAATGATACGATAAAAACAGGTGTAAGACCTCTTTACCTACTCCCTCCATACCTAGGAAAGCTTATAATTAATATTATAAGAATTTGCTGGTTGGTAACCCGTTTTTATAATCTAAAGAAGTTTGATTTTTTAGTTTTCTTTAAGTTTATTTTCTGTATTCTACAACTATAAGTGTTTATATTAATACTTAATTTCCATTCCGAATTACTTACATAGAACCATTATATCAATTTTTAAGATGAAATATGGAGTTGTGATAAATTATGGAGCTGCCCCTATTAATTACAACATTAGTACGCCTTTGAGCTGGAGGAGTGGATTACAATAAAAAAGCAGATGCATTGATAAGGCGCAGAGAGAGAAGATATTAGCCAAATGTTTTGAAACATGGGAATGAGAGGTATTTTGAAAAAAAAAAGGAATGTAATTTGAGACCGACGGAGTAGCATTTCACAATTCCTTTTTACTAATTTCACATATATGTATTCATTTGGGCTAAAAAAAATTAATAATTTGCCACTAGTTCACATCACCATAATTTTTTGGGCAAACACGATTAATTCTCATGGTGGAGTTATAGGCATATAACTCTATTCATCAGGATTGAAATCCTAATATCTAAAAATAAATTGCGTGTATTTTTAGTTGGTGCACGTATTGAAAGTGATACTCCATATATATATATATATATATATATATATATATATCTATTTATTTGCACGGTCTTCAATAATATATTTTGACAATTAATTTATTTCATGTTATATCCCCACAAATATGAAATTACCATCACATGAAAGTAATTTAAAATATAAATCTAATGATATAATAAGTATAATACTGTTAGTATGATTATTAGTTAAAAGTTATTGAGTTTATAATTTAGGACGGAAGGAGTATTGTCATTATTAATAAAAAACCGAAAAAAAGATTGAGGACACAAAGCACTAGGATAGCCAGCAGGTCGGCCATGTTTGAGAGGACTCTCGCGGTGCATGTTTTCATGGATTGGGGGATTAGAGACGGTCTGTTATAGCAAGTATAATAGGGGCTGAAGAGCCGGCGATAACAAATTCAAAGGCTGAGTTGGCAAAAAGCTGATGAGAGAGAGGACCAGCCGGCGACTAAGAGCAAGGATAATAATAAAGCCCACTTTTTACTATTAGCCTATCTTAAAGTCAACATATATAATAGATTAGCTATAAGGTTGGCTATAATTTTCTTCTCCTCTCTCTATCTCTCACTTACACATTTAATGCATTTGTCTTGAAGCTTGTGATAAGCTAACTCTTGCATAAGAGCCAACATCCTTAATTTTTCACTACCTCTCTCCTCCACCTAAGCTTATAGTACGTTTATAGCTCACTATTATACTTGCTCTTCTTGCTCTAAGAGCAAGGATAATAGTAGAGCTTACTTCCTACTATTAGCCCATTTTAAAGCCAACATATATAATGGATTAGCTATAAGGTTGGCTATAATTTTCTCCTCCCCTCTCTATCTCTCACCTATACATTTAATGTATTTACCCAGGAGTTTGTGTTAAGCTAACTCTTGCATGAGAGCCAACATTCTTGATTTTTTTGTTATCTCTCTCCTCCACATAAGCTTATATAGTAGGCTTATAGCTCACTATTATACTTGCTCTAATTAAGCGCTAGCGTCACACTCTCCAAAAAACTCTCCAAAATAAAATGTGGGACCCGTTGCATGCTTTCTACACCATACAGAATGAAGATGTGATGTAGAATGAGAGAGAAGATAGAATAAATAAATAATAGACTATTGCAACTAAAAAAAGATGGATAGACTACTTGTTGTATGTATTAACTTTTTACCATGGCTATAGCAGACGTGGAAATTACTGGAGTAAGCAGCGAGCGCTTCTATTAACCTTGCTCTTAGATCAGGTACAATAGCAGGCTATAAGCCAGCTGCAAACATATTTTAATAAGATAAAAGATGAGAGAGAAGAGCAGCGGGCTACAAATCTGTAGCCAGCTGCAGCACGGACTCCAAGACGCAATGTGTGTATGACAGTGGGACCATATGCTAATAGTATAGTAAGCAACTATTGTATAAATTGGCTATTAAATTGGCTATAGATGAATTAGAGTTAGTAGTTGGCTATACTATTAACCTTGCTCTTAGCATCAGTATAGAAGCCCACTGTTTCCACAGATCGCTGCTCGACAAAGTTACTGCTATTAGCACTAGTATATAGAACAGAGTAGGGGTGACATCTTTTAAAAAGGAAAAAAAAGGGCACAATTTGCCACTGGATATATGTAATTAGTTGGAAGACAAAAAAAAAAAAGTGACACTGCCAATGGACATTATAAAATTTTATAATTTGTGTAATTAGCTGTAGTACACC